CGTTGTGTTCACTCCCAGGGGAACTACTTCGAGGGTGATGGATGAATTTAATACCTGAGATAAGTGTACGGGTTTTTATACGCGGTCTGGAAACTTTTCGATCGCACCTCGTATTTTTACGAGATTTGTTTTGTTTCTTGTCTTGTTTAACAACGCTTTATTAACTGCATAAGTTACATTCCATGAATGAACGGTTAAGCCAGTTTTGTCCACATGTCCAGGCAGTTTTTTTCCCCCCCAAAATAACGGAGAAGCACGTAGCACCCGAGCTACGGGTATGATTTGGAAAAACCTCGATGAAGTAGGCGTACACTGGATTCTGGTTTGGTTTGGTTTGGATCTTTTTTTTTTGAAGGACATTGCAAATTCGCTAACTGTTACGTAAATATTTTGAGCATTCGATCAAAATTTCGTGCATGATCGAAGTTTAGCCATGTCTATTCTACTTTAATGTAAAACCTTCATTTTAAGTGTCTCTTTAAGGACCTGAAATACATATTTGGATTATCTCGCTAAGTGTTTACCTGATTTCTGTCGTGAATAGAATTTGTCGGTATTCATAAAATGAACGTGTGTCTTAAGGCGGGTACACGCCAAGGTGAGAAACATTTACGAACAAAAAATGTCGTATATTCTGATAAAAACTTATTTTATGAAGCATTTAATCTGTTTAATTGTCGTCCACGTGGTCGAGTTTTGACGAATATTTAATTATTTTCAGCGCTGCGTAATCTGTTGAGTAGTGAGGTGATTAGAAAGGAAATTAAAAAGGCATCTTAAGCCAGTTGTGATTGGAAAACTTTGCATGGACAATGGAATGGAATTTCGAAATTTCACAAGAACAGTTGCATCATATTTTATTTTGATATCGACTCTGTTTTCAAAATGTACAGACATTCACCAGTCGAACAAAAATCTCTTAACAGTAAATTAAATTTCCTTCTATTCTTTTATTTTCCTTAGCTCCTAGATTACATCCAAGAATAGTAACCCTTTTATCTGACTTCTTTGCCTCAGCAACTCACGTTGATATTGAGCTAGAAGAGATTTCATTTTCCTTTCAACAAAGTCCACATCAGCTTTTATGTGGAAGGACATTCCTTGCCCTCCAACCTTCGTATGATTTTGATTTTGTAGTCTCTTGGCATGAATTTACATAAATATTCCCGAAACTCCTATTCCTTCATTACATTTAACATTTGTTGGACCACTCGAAGACACGAATAAACCGCTTAATTAAAATATTTAACGAAAAATGTAGTTTCTTAACTGAAGATTAAAACTACGTGAATCAGTTAAAAAGATACTGATACACTACCTTTACTTATTACTAGGAGAAGTTTAGATATTTATTTTCTTAACAATATACGACGCACATAATAAGTAGACGAATACTTTTCACTTTGTAGTTTATCTGTAGAGTCACGGTGGTCTAGCGGTTAGAACGCTGGCCTTGTAATCCTGGGGTCTCGGGTTCGATTCCCGGCGGTGCCCGAATTTATAACTTGTGTTGGGCAAGGCC